ATAAGACATAATGGAAAATAATGGAAACAAAAATAATAATGGTTTTTTTTCTTCTCCTTTCTTTTTGAAGGGAAAAGTAAAACAAATGGCAGTGTATGTAGGAGATATATAGCGGTATGTGTGAAAGCCATCAGCGTGATAAAGTTAGTGTGGGCAAGGGGCAAGTGAACGGTGCAGGAATATTGAGCGAACGCACGGTTAACAATAATAGTCCACGCGTACAGTTAATAACAAGGGGTGTGACAGCTTACTGTAGAGTAGATACGTACCAAGTTTCTCTTTTCCAGTTTACGTATTACCCCTTTGGGTTTTATCTTTCCTAATTATATTAATTTTTTTTTGAAATTTCTCATATGTTTTTTTTCTTTAACATCAGTATTCAGTTATTAGATTTATATTACTTTTTTAATTTAATTTAATTTTTACTTATATTTAATACATATTCGACGGTTTATAAATAAAAAACATTGATATTCTCTAAAAAAAAAAAAGAGAATACCATAGAAAATCTTTTCTTTTTTTAATAGAAGATTTAAATTTAGGCCCGCTACAATTAAGGATTGAGGTAGTTATTAGTCAGGTGAAACTTGCAATCATAGAGCAACAAACTCTTTTTTTTTTTTTTTTTTTTTTTTTTTTTTTTAATTTTTTTTTTTTTTTTTTTTTTTTTTTTTTTTTTTTCAAATCGTGTTTTATTATCTGCAAATTGTACGTGGTTACTTGAATTATGAATTTATAGATGTTACTTTGTATGGTTTGCTATTTCAGTTTATGGCATGCTTAATATGCTGAAGAGCTTTCATATCGCTTTTGAAAGACTGGATATTTAGTTATGCAATTAAGACCGATTAGAGAATCTTAAGAGAGTTAAATACTTCACTCCTTATGAAACTACATTGGGTGTACAAGTCATCTTGCTAATGTGGTACACCCGTTTTTATAATAGTATTTTAAAAATAAAAATAATTAATTTAAAGTTAATTACTTAAAATAAGGAAATTAGGTAGAATAATAATAGTGTTTTTTACTCAACAATCAATGCTATACACACTAAGAAAGAGAAACGTGTTGTGTGGAAAAATGTGAAGGACACGTGGAAGAACGATAATATGACACGTAGCCTTAACTACTCCCCAGAAAGCAACAACCCTCGACGTCTGGGGCTCCCTCCCATTCTGTTATAAAGAACCCAAGTGAAAAGTCCAACTTAGGGCGTCGATTCCTTCTGGCGTCGACAGATCGTACCGTCGACCTTAGGACATAGAAATCCCTCGACTGTGGAACCAACCGCCAAGAAGGACTGTTGGGTTAAGCAACACTGGCGACGAGGGGAATGCTCTTTGGGGAAAAATCTGACGTGACAAATTACGTACAAAAGTGGGGGATGACTGCAAGGTAGGCATTTATTGTGAACCCTTAAACTGCCCCACAGGGGACAGAAAAGGGTTACAGGAATGCATAGAGCCGTAATAGAAGACTAATTGGCTGAGTGAACACTACTCCAAGTAATTAGTGGGCTACGTCTGGGCCTAAAAAGGGAGAGCACTTGAGTGCTTTTGCCTACAAAGGAAATCAACCCAGCGAAGGAAGTCCCCAATATAAAAAGGGCGAGACCCCATACAGGAAAGGGGTTGAGATCCGAGAGAAAAAAGAATGAGAAAGAACAATTGATGTAAATTGTAATCCCTTCAAAAGAAATATATAACCACAGTGGATGTAGCTCTGATTTTATAGAGTGAACCACTATAAAATCTCTTGTGTTCCTTATTTGTGCACATCTTTTCATTAACGCACAATACACCCCTCCAACAAATTCTTACACACATTCAACACTAAGGCCGGTAATCCAACGGGAAACCCCGAGGTAACCCGGCCTGTTTTTGTTGACGAGAATTCACCGTCAACAAAACGTAAATACAAAAAGCTGACATACACAAAGTTACTAAATGGTATAATTTTAATAGATGGATGTACCACATAAACGAACATAACATGGTACTCCCGGCCAACTAAATAATTCCTCATAATTAATAAACGTCTGATCTACACTATATAGCAATGCTAAGCAGAAATTCAACCCAATTACTTTAAACGTCAATTGTTCATTTTTTACTTTTTTCATATTGTTGTTTAAATTATTAACATAATAATAATGCTTGGGATCTTTATAAATCCTAACCTATATGAGAGATTTTTTTTTTTTTTGGTAAAGTGTTTGAAAATTACCATTTTAGTCAATATTAAAGATAACATCTACTAGTACTAAAAACACAAACTCACTGTCCCATTATCACTACAGCATTTTATGATTAACTCACTATGTAAGTTGGTATCAGAATGTTGAAATTAAAATTGGATTCCTAACATTTCTTATCATTTTTAATTTTATTTCAAGAACAGACTTGATTTATGATATATTCATCATTCATGATAGACTAGCTTAATTTGTCAGATAACTTTCCAACTTGGCGTCCTATGTTTTTCTTTTTCTTCTTACTCTACTTAAAGAATGTTCAAGGACCTCCCTTAAACTCTAAAAAAAAACCTAAATATTGTCTTTTTATTTTATTAAACACACTTAAATGGACAAATTTAAGAAAAAGCCTAATCACTAAAGTGGAAAAATCAAAGAATTAATAACTCTAGACCCAAAACTTAATGTTTATTACGCAATTTGCAAATGTATATATGAAAGCAACATTTTTCTCCGCCCTAGTCACATAGGGCTCGTTTGGTTTATATGTTTAAATCAGTGATTTTTTATTTAGTCATTTGAAATAATTTAAATTTTTTGTAAAATGAAAATATCTTAACAGAATTAAAACTATGAGTTTAAACGCATGAAATAAACGGGCTCTAAATTTTCTTGCTCTGTTCAGCTTACCAAAGAAGAAATATTCGGAGAGCTGTCATCCAAACTGGGTCACTCAATTGACTCGAAACTATCATCATCATCATCATTATTGGCGTTCGAAATAATAATACAATGCATGCATGTAAAGTGGCTTTAAATTCTTGCATGGAATATTAATCGTACTGGACTATCCAAATGAGAGCGACAGCTAAAGCACGCAATTCGGACCAACCATATTACCATATTTATATATATATATATGTGTGTGTGTGTGTGTATACATATATGTGTATATGCTATTATATGTGGTCAAGCGTTATTAATATATTGACTTGTCGATCGCGTCGCCTGGTCATGGATGATATATCAAAATTTCACTGATTTTTTGAATTGTGTAGTTGTAAAGAACTGCGATATTGTGCGAGAGCGTGCAAACAAGGGCAGGCCAATCATGAGTTCTGACACTATAATATTGGTTTTGTGATATTGGGATGTAGCTGTACTTCAAATAATATATACATGATATGATGATTAATTACACCATTTATCTTCCCCAACAATGTATCAAATAAGGGATTCCTCGTGAATTGCACCCTGTACTTGTTACTGCAATATTTCTGTCACTCCCTTAGTTTTTCTTGAGGGGCGTGGCGATCTCAGCTCTCAGTGAATGCAAAACAGTACAAACATATATGTATATATATAGTATGGATACTATATATATGTATAGGTATATTATGTTTGTGTGTGTATATGTGGACATGTATTTCAATATTGTACTTTTTCATTTACGTTATGTACCTGCACTCAGTTTTATGTTTCAGAACATTTTATCGTCTCAAAATCTCTCAGAGAAGGGGCTCAGTGAATATCGAGCAAAATCTTAGGAGACGTTTAGTTTATGGATTAGAATTATTTTCGATTTACGTGTATTTTTTGTGAGAGAAAACACTGTAATGAATCATAAACCATAATTCGAATCGGGATACGAATCCCCCAACCAAATAATCTCTTATCTATTGTGGTCGCATGAGTCAGATATTTAATAGTTGCATTTAATCTTATCCTCACATAGATTATTCTAATCTTATGGAAGGTGATTAATTTCGAGTAAGATATTTTTTACTTTTGAAACTTTTGAAAATTTGGATATATGATATAAAAGAAATTAAAAAAAAAAAACGTGTGGACTGTGGCACTACATGTTGTACATAACAAAACCCCAAACTTTTGATGGAAAATTACTGATTGTTTTATTATTAAAACCCCAAACTTTTGATAGAAAAAATCCCATATCCTTAAAATAGCTGAATGTCGGATAATATTTTTACTAACATTTAATTTTTTCAAAAAATGAAAAGAAATTTCTTTTGAACTTGATAATACGGGATCGTATTGGTTTTTAAATTTTGAGAGTATATAATAGAGTAATCGTATGTTGAGTGCTACCTATATACTCCAGCATTATCAAATATAAAATACTACATATAATCATTTCATTACACCTATAGCAAAATTTACATAGTAGACTAGAAATATAGCAAAATTTTTAAATATTAGAAGAAATATAAAATTTTGATATTATTTGAATGATGACTATATCATTATATAGTACATCGTGATAATTATTATACACCATTTTTTCTATATTTATAATATCTTAAAAATTTTGTTAAATTTCTAACTCAAGGTATATATGAAATTTGCCATGCGGTGTAATTATCCCAAATATCATAAGCAGTTCAAACTCCAAACGAGGCAATGAATCCTATTCTCTAATTTCTCGGGATAATATTTAATTATCCTTCTACATAACCGTTCTTATTTTCGGATAAGGCATTTTAACTACTTCATTTTGAACTAAAGTGCTAGGAATTAATACTATAATATTATCTCCAAAAAGGTCTTTTTAAAGAACTCTCAGAGTTTCAACATGGCCTGAAAAATGCTGTATTAGGAGGTTATAAAAATTAGGAAGAACAAAAATGATCATCAATTATAAAAAAGAGCTGCATGGGTCTTTCTCATTAGCTCTCAAAATTCGGGACAATTTCCAAGCAGACTCTTGATCTCCTGATCGATATGATCTGATCATGATTCTCTCCAAAATCACATAAAAATCAAATACAATTCGAAATCAGTATTTCTAAGTATGAACAGGCCTTATAGCTGGCACTGCAACCCCCAATATACAACGCCCACTGCTATAGTTACAACACGAACCAATTCCCTGCTCTTGAATATTCCCATTATCGTTTTTATGATTACACTGATCTTCCTCTTCAACCTCATCACCACCGTCCAATTCACCACAATTAACATCATCACCGCCATCATCCTTATCATCCAGATCCTGATCATTGTGTTCCTGATTATCGCGATCCTCCACATTGTTGCATTCGTTCTCAATTATCTCCTTATCAGCTAGCGAAGCACCCAAGACGGCGCCGTCGAGGGGGACGAGGTGCAACGTTAGGCGGCCGTTGGAGCGGTGGGCCCGGAAGTACTCGTGGTGGCGGACTTTCTCCTCCGTCAGGATCAAGCGTCCGTCGCCGGTGTAGTGGCGCCTGAGAACCCACGGCATTCTCGAATGCATATTCTCCGTCTGCGCCAGCGACGGGATCGGCGGCGGAAACTCCCTCTTGTAATTCCCCGTCTCCGACGACCGCCGGTCTCGCCTGCCGCGGATTTCTCTCTCGCCGGGCGGCGGCGTGTGGCTGCGATTCAATAATTCCAATTGGTCGCCGTCGCTGAGGACGTCGACGCAGCTCTCCATGCCGATGTAGTCTCCGATAATAGCGGAGAATGAGGACGAACGGTACAGGAACGAGTCCGGGGTCATGAGAGTGCTGACGGAACGACGATCGGAGTCTTGTCGTTTTGGCTCTTGTGGATAAAGGGAGAGGTCGTTTAGTCCGCGTTCGATGTGGTGGGTTTGCATATTCGAAGAGATTGATTCAAGAGATGGAAAGAGTTTAATTAAATTAGTTCTTAAGAATTGCGCATGGAGAGGAACAGTTTGGCAGTGAGGGAAAATTAAGCAAGAAAATTTTAGAGAGATTTTTTTTTTCTTTTTTAAGAGAGAGAGAGAGAGGTGGTATATATTGAGATATATTGAAGATGGGGAAAGAATGAGATAGGGCAGAGCCAGCTAGTATATAATCTGGTGGTGACGTCAAGACTTGTGTTTATTCGGGGGAAATCAGAAATCAGAATCTGATTTGGATTATTCTCCAATAATTACTTACCTGGACATCTCAAAATAAGCAAAGAAAAAGTTATTTACATTTTAGGCATATATAATATAATAATATCGAAGTGCAAATACAAAAAAATTGAAAATACAGATAGGTAACGAACGCGTAAAAGTGAACATTCATATTCTATTATTCAATTATCCAAAAATATAATAAATAAATAAAAATGAGAATCTATAAATTATTGAGGTCTCATTCATTTAACCGATTCGAGTTTAAAATTCAGTTTTTATTACAGTAAAAAGCTCTCACATAAAGTTACATCTCAACTCGAATAAGCAAACTAAACGGGCCCTTAAGGAGCGGGACAAACACGTGTTGTTGCTACATCATCATAAAAAGTTTTCCATGTTGTTTTCTTTCTGGCGGGGCAACGTGATTGAGCCATTTGGACCGTAGGATATGATTACTTTACTTGATCAATAAATTCAATTTCCTTAATAACGTTGTGAGGGTCCACCGCAGCAGCAGGAAGCAATTTATTTTCTTTAAACTAGAAAAACAAACGTTTTTATGGTGATAAAAAAAAAAGATCATATGTTTACGAATTTTGTGGTCGTTTGACCTCGAAAATCATGCTGAATAATGTTATTATCTAGAAAATATCCACATTGCTATCTGTAAAAAGAATTTTATCGTGTATTCGCCAAAAAAAAATATTAATAGGGCAATATCCGTAAAACATCGAGCATCATTATCAAGCTGTATAGGTTAAAAGATAAAAACAAACGTGGGGGGGGGGGAAGAAGAAAGAAAATATTTAAAGATATGTTTCCGTTAATAAAAGGAAATTACTCTATTTCAGATGAAAAAAAAAAAAAAAAAAAAAACTCGGGTGAAAACAATTCCTTTTTTGTAGTTTCCTTTTGTAAACAAATCCAGAAGAGTGTTGATTAATGTAAATTATTAATAAATTGGGAGAGAGTTCAAGAAAGCAATAAAACGAAGCGTATACGCGTGCTAAGAGACGAAGTGCTTCGACAGTCGAAAATATGAAAGAAAACAGATGAGCTTGCTTTGTGCTGGCATATTGGACAGTATATAAATATAATTTAAATATATATAACAAAACTATTTTAAAAAACAAGCTACGACCTATGTGTATAGAAAAAAAAAAAAAAAACAATAAAATAAGCTTCAGAGAAAAACATAAATAAATAAAACAAGCACACACAAACACATGCCCCCAAAATAAAGCAAAAAAACCTTCAAAAACAAATCACATAAAATAATGACGAAAACGATGTCCTACTTCAATCATACATAATATTTATTCAGCAAAAAAGGACCTAAAAACACCTAATTCCTACGAAAACGTTAAAAACGCATATCCTTGTGGAGTCCAGAATGCTAGGAATATGTACTCGATATGATTCATTTCATCGCTCACCGTCTAATTCCATCGCTATATAATTTAATAGATATCCAAGAAAATAAATAGTAAAAAAGCAATAATGATTAATGGAAATTTGACTAAGTTTCCGTGAACGGGTTTCCTTTACTTTTGCATGGCTGGAGAAACCAAAAGGCTATACCAGAACAAGAAGTATGGCTTAACAATGGAAAATCAATGAAAACATTTTAAATCGGATAAATTAGAGAAAGTAAAAAGGATAAAACTTAATTTGCACAAATCATTCAGAAGAGAAGATAATAAAGAAAAGACCAAAACAAAAAATAAATAAATAAATAAAAACGAAAAACACAAACATCCAGTGAGATTCATGGTTGTTTGGATTAAAGAAAAGGGTAATTTTATTGTGACATATAAAAGAAAGACGTACCCGAGGAGGTCTTGTTTGGATTGGTGAAGAAACCAAACAGGCCTTGTAAAATGGAAAGAAGATGATGATCATACGACAACGTTTTGAGAGAGAGAGAGAGAGAGAAGATAGAGCGAAGAAGAAGAAGAGAGTTTGCAGAGCGAGAGAGGGAGAGGGAAAGAAGAGAGATTCAAATCTCTCTTCTGTGTCTCTCTCTATTTCTCTCTGGCATTTGAGAAGGAGCAGGATTAAGCCTATTTCTAGGCGGAGTTTTGGGGATTAGGGTCACAAACCCAGTTACAACGGGCGCGAGCGATACCATAATTGCAATTTTTTTTTTTTTGGAAACATTTTTTTTTTTTAGTTTTGTTTAGTTTTTATGATTTGGTGCGGTTTTTGGAACTTTCTGCTCCTTTCCTAGCTATTTATTTACTTATTTGTTTCTTTTTTTTTTTTTTGGGAGAAGTCATTTACTGAATTTAAGCAAAACACAAGAAGAAGAGAAAATTCTCATACATCATACACATACGTTTTGCCACATATGTTCTTACTATACATAATTTTTTTACTATACTAAGAGACAATTTTTGAATTGGAAAATAGTTATTCCTTTTGCGAAAAAAGACATAGGAGCAACGTTTTAGTTGTTTTTGTCAGCGCATTTTACGGTAGGTGTGAAAAATACGTGAGGATTCGTCACGTGTAAAAGTACGTTATCAATACTATACACTAAGTATAAAAAAAAATGTATGTTATTGTTTTTTCGAACTATAGAAAAATGTTATTGTTGGTTTCTAAAACGATTTGGGATGCAAAAACATGTAATTAGCGGATCGTGTATAACAAAAATTTTCATAAAACTTTGAGATACTTTATAAATTACATTAATTTATGTACGAATAAATTAATCTAATTAATTTATTTACCTAGCGAACGATTAGGTCGATAACTTGAGTTTTTTAACCTCAAATGTTCCTTACAACAAATGCACGACGTGAAATTTGGGAGAAAATTTTTCTTTTTCACACTCTATAAAATTCGGCCACTATAGATAGGAGAGAGCAAAAATTGTGTTCTCTAATTTTCTGCAATCTCCTATTTATATAGTAGTAGTTTGACAATCAGAAGAAGTCTAATCTTTATCTCTAAGATAAAGCTTGATAATTATCTCTCACTTCTAACTTGATTTTTGAAACAAAATTTCTCTCCCTTATCCATATATTGGCCGGCCACCACAAGAAGATTCCTCCCTATGGTCGGCGCATACTGCAGGTAAAGAATAAGGTAAAATTATGCATTTATCATGCAGTCTAATTTTGACTCAAATTCATATTCATATTTAAGTCAAACGTAAATTAATTTGACAACTTATCAAATTCATATTAATTCAATTGAACAACTTATCAAATAAGTCAAATGGATAACTTGGAGAGCAAGCAACCGAATCCCAGAGGGATTCACACTGTGCTGTGAGTTCACACTATGTGAACACCTTCACATGTGTGTTTCATAATTCAAATTTAAACTTAAACTTAAATAATCACATTATTTAATTTATAATTAATTATCAATTAATTATCCTTGAGCGTTATTTTTAGAATTCCATAATTCTAAAATTTTTATTTTAGCCTTAGTGTCTTGTAGGATTACAAGAACGACGAGATAACTCATGAACCTATAATTCTGAGCTCCAATAAAATTAATAATTAATTAAACTCTTTAATTAATTAATTAATTCTATTAATTCCAAAAGTTACTCCATTATAAACTTGAAATTGCACTCTCGTAATTACAGACATAAATTACTTCTAAACTGTGAAGTGTCTATTTGATATAGTCATTATATATAGATCAATACTCCATAAATAATTTATAATTAGAGTTAGGTGAAATCCGTTAACCTCTCTAATTACAGCTTTATCCTTGAGTGTCATTGATTCTCTAATTGACAATGATTCACAAAATAAATTTATAAATCGGAGCTCCTACTGGTCCAAGTATCAAATCAATTCTCAAGAGAATTATTTATTTATCTACTTCTTTCTCAAGAAGGAATGGTATCCATCTCATATAATAACATTCTCGACTACTCACTTCATCATGTCTCTAAAATACAAGGAATATGATTAAAGATCGCAGAATATGTACTAAGTAAATCAAAAGACACAAATTCATAAATAGGAGTCTACTAATAACTCTGGATTAAAATCATTCTATATATGACCATCAGTATACTCAATTAAAATACTTAACAGAAATTATCATAAATTCATATTGTATATGTGTCCATGTTCTACATAATCTCATTATGGGTAATACACTTATTTAATATCTCACCATATTAATAGTGCATATACCACCATTGCATTCTAAATGAGAATGACATATATTAGTATTGTTTTAATTAAAACTTCTAAACTTTAATTAAATTCATTACGAATATCGTTTTGATTATTATCCTTAAATATTATACTCCCGCATATAACACTTATATACAATATTTAAAGTCACATAAATAATCATGGAATTTTCAGTGATATTCATAAAATATTCAATACTATATATAAAATAATAAATAAACTCTTTTATTAAATAAATAATAAATATCATATTATCATTCTCCACAGTTATTTCTATTTGAAAGGGATGTTACCTTTTACGAGAAAAGTGCTACTAATACTGATTAAAAAGAGTGTTCCATATAGCGTAAAGTAGGTAACATTATTTCACTGCTTGTAATATAACTTGATGTTATATATCGTTTGAACCTTTGATTATGCAAAAGTGAAGATCAGGCATGTGTTGGAAAACAGTACAAATAGCAAAGCCAGTGTTTTACGAAAAAGAAATTAATATAATTTTTTTTAACTATACATAAGAAATATATTTGAATTGGAAAATTGCCAAATAAGACACGATGA